CAAATTACGTAATTATCCTGTTTTATTTGTCTTGATGGGTATTTTTATGCTTATTTTATATTGTATGACTAATCTACTGTTTTTGATTGTTTTAATAAGTGAATTTTGTATGATAAGTGTCTCTTTTATATGCATTTTAATTTGACGCACTTGATTAATGGAATGAGTAATGAATGAACGTCTTAATGGAAATTTTATTTTATTTTAGTCCATGATAAATTTTGATAAATTTCTTGATCATTGTTTAATGTGTATTATAAGTATTATAAGTTTACCTCATTTAATTGCAATATTACTGTATTATTGTATAGATACTATGTATTCTAACTTGACTTGTTCCATATCCTATAGTGTCTCACCTGTACTGGATCTACGGAAGGTAAATAAATTCAATTCAATTCATCTTAAACCTGTATGAACGTTGTTTGTGTTTATATGAGTGTTACGTGAAGTGAAGGAGAGCTGTTGCTTATAGGAGGCAAGGTTCCACTGATCTAAAAGCTAAAGATATTTGTGAAATTAAATTGAATCTGATTTACATTTGAGAAGAAAATTGATTGCATGACAAACTATGGCGATTTGCATTGGAAAAAGTCTCAGCTATATTTGTTAGGAATACGTAATTTTTCTTTCCGCCTTATCATATAGCTCTTGCACTAATACTTTTTAAAGTTTTTATGTATAATGTAATTCAACGAATTAAATAATATAATATGATACGTACTCTCTGATGTATTCCAAAAAGCGTGACGGTCTGTTAACTTGTTAAACATGGCTGCTTTATTTACTATTCCGTGTATGTAAGTAATCTGTGATGCGTGATTTCATCTGTCCCGCTCTTGAAGTTAAGTTCTTGAACGTGGATATTCATCCGCTAAATAAACGGTTTAGTATGCGTAATAATTTAATTCACACTTCTCTTTACATTATCTTATGGTCTCAGAAAATAAAACTATACGACTTAACATGGATGGAAAATATTAGACATTGTATATATTGATATATGAAGCGACATAATTAAAATGATTAGGTTCTTTCTTCCTTGGCGTAGAAACATGGCGACTGGGATGTAGACGTGCTGACCGGTGCTGACCAAGGTAGACGGCATTTGAAAAGAAGCTGTCAGTTGTGAACTGTTGTGAAATTTGAATTGGTTGGTTAGATTTGAAGTATAAGGTGAGATGGATGCTTTAAGGGTCGCCTTCAACCTTCTTCCACTTGAAGATCAAATAGATGATCTTTCGGCCTGGATAAATGTCTTGATAGACAAGAGGAAAAATTTAAGGGTTCAGGCCATTTTAACCTGTACACTGGAAGAAGCGAAAGTCCTTCTGAGAATGAAAGTGCGAGAGCGACTACTATGGCAGCTCTCTTACTTTTGAAGTAGTTTCTTTTTCATTTCAGTCTTCCGGTTTGAAATGGCATGTTTGCCAATTGGCGACGTTTGGTCCAAGGTGGCAAGCCATGATAAGAGTGACCTGAGGGAGAAGGCTGCATTGTAATCTTTGAATCTACAGTTGTTACAGTGTAGATAATTCGGCATGATAGCCTTTGCATCTAAGAAATATCGTTTTTCTTTCAGGCAAGGGTAACAATATGACTTTTTTAGACAGTATTTCAACAGACCAAGTTTTAGATGTTGGACATTGTTATCTCAAGTCAGTTCCTGGTACCCAGTCACACATCTGTGCATTGATCAGTTTCCTTGGTTGGTTTTCTGATGTCAGTTCTTTATATTCTAACATGCAACACTATGTTGTATAAAATTTATTGAAAGTTACTTACTTTACAAGTTTAAAGATCCATCACTACATGTTTTCAACCCATATGGTCAGGCATTAATATTATTGGTCAAGGAAACTGCTGTCTTCTCTGGTTGCCTTTGTTGTTAATGTATAATTCCTCTCTGTGTGCATGTGTGTATATAACGTGTACATTTTCTATCCGCAATCGTGCGTAAAATTTTAATTTAGTATTCAGTGCCATGCATATTCTGAAAGGATCTGTGTGAAGTTAATTACTGTTTGTTTTAATTAATTTTCTCCTTTTTAATAGAATGAAGCTGGTATTTGCAATACTTGCCTTGAACAAGATTTGTTGGTTGTGGGGCAGGTGGAATGTGGACAGAATAGTTTCTATTTTCAGTTCATGCAGATATTGTTGGCTTCCTGGTGGATACATGCATTCAGCCCCTTGAACCTGAACAGTGTGTTGGTATGGAAGTTTCCTTGCAGCCTTGATTGGATTGTATAATTGCCGCTGTTAACAGAAAGTGGAATAGTGGAAGGGGTTAACAGCAGAGTTTGCCGTTAGTAGCGTCACTTTTTTGGCAACAAGTTTTCTTATGTAAGTTTGTAAGGTTATGTTTTTCATGTACATTCCATAGGAAGTCTTTAGTATGTTCCCAGACAGTGGGATGGAATGCCAGTACATGAGACTAAAGGTACAAATTTTTCAAGTGTTGCTTATAATGGCTCTTTGGGAATTAACCAGATAGTAAAACGTCTGTGTATAGTACAGTTCATCAATAATGCCATAAATTGTTCCCCTTTCTTCCACTCACACTTTTAACACAATATGTTTCAGCCCTAGTGGGGTGAACTCAACCTTGTGATGATAATTGAGGAGCTATTTCAAGGAAATAGAAAACCGAAAGTAATGACCGTGGGGATCCGTTGCGCTGACCACGCGACACCCTCTGTCCGCAAAAGCTGCACTAAACTTCGCCGACAAACGGTGGTCGCTCGGTATAGTTCGCTTGACTAAAATCACAGTTTTTTTTTTATTATGTTTCAGCCTTAGGAGGCCATCTTCAGGTGTCCTAATATATTAAAACTGCTACACTGCATTGATATGCGCTAAACTCGCATGCTATAGTACAGATAATATAATAAAACCCATTAAATTTTCTATTACAATTTTCATTACTTTTGTGAAATTCTGTTCCACATCATAAGGTGTGTTGTCCACTTGTTTTGAACTATATGTTTATCTCCACACAGTCACACACTTGAACTCCATATTTTGAAGATTCTTCTAAGATAATTGTTTTTATATTTTGTTTTGTTACATTCTGAAAGTGATTGTTTGTGTGGAAGGAAAGTTTTGTTTTATACTATCAGAGCTCAGCGGTGGTGGCGTATGCAACAGTTCGTGGTGACGATTGCCCTTTTTTATCCTTCTCAAGAATCTATGGCATTTGCTGATAAGGGATGATGTGCGTTGTCTGATCAGACTCTGGATGCTGTAAGTTGTTTGTCTACTGAAAGCCATCTGTTTCTACACGAGGTTTATTTGAGAAACTTCTCTTAATGTCTTGGAGTTGTGAGAATTATCAGCACTTGTAAGTCATTATGTATGACACTGAACTTTGTTTCTGTAGTTTGGGAATGTTGTGACGTACAGGTATCTCCCCAGCTCTGTGAATTTCCTGCCGTTAAGTTTTATTATGATTGTTTTAGGGAAGATAGTATAGAATCAGTCTTTTTGAGCAAATTGTTGTATTTGGAAGAGGCAAAAGTTGGGGGAAGTGGTTTTGATGATTAAGGCAGTGAAATGAGGTCTCGGCGAGATATCTGTACTTGGATGATAATACTCGATGCTTTGGCTGCATATTGCCTATTTGCAGTTCTGCCATTCTGCAAGAGAGATGAAACTTGTGCATGATAGAGAATGCCATTCTATAACCGCGAGACATTGAGGGAGAGACAGCTCTTTTTTTTTCTTTCTTTCTTTTCTTCTTTTTTTGAGGCAATTTGTGGCAAGTTGTTGGAAAGTCTTCGTATTGGGGTAATTTTTTTTATGGTATGCTGTATGTAGGCAATTACAGTTATTTAAAATTTGGAGATTATTTCACTTTAATATTAACATTGTCACATGGTGATTATCTTATTACAGAAACTGAGAAATTCATGTTATGATCGTACGCTATATCACTAGATGTTGTTTCATACCACAGTGTAGTAGTTTGGCATTTTTTTTTTTTTGCAGATGTGTTGGTACGTGGTGACTGCAAGAAATCACAGAAAACACAGTGGAGCACCTTTTGTAATGTATTAAGTAGGTGTATTTGAGTAAGAAAGTTGGAATACAGGAATACTTGGTAGTGTTCATCAGTGTGACATGTTGACCCCTACCTCCCCAGCGGTGCGTGGCGGTGGCGTAACGCTCGCGTTCTTACGGTAATAGGCGAGTTCCCGCCCCGCCACTCCCCTCCGCGGTGACGTCACCGAGGGATATCGCGGTCGCTAGGCAACGCGAATCAACAGCGGCGACGTTACGATAGTAACAGCGGTGACCTCCGCTAGCGTTACATAGCAACAGAGCGCCAGGCAAAAGGGTGCCTATTACGTGGCCGTTTTCCCGTATTGTCCGATCGAGGCTACATAGGGAGAAGCGAAGGCTATTCACAGCCAGTTCTAGTGTGGCTACCGCAGAGTTGTACTGAGTTGTACTGAGACAGTCAGCGAGTCCTGGAGCTACCGCCGAGTTAGCCAGCAACTAGTCAGTTGTATTGTGGCATTTTTCAGTGTACTAATTGTGATACTGCAGGTAGCAGTAATCGTCAGATTGTAATTTGGGTGATTGTGAGAGCGGATGTGAAATAAAATTTGCTACATCAAATACATCGTGAAGTTATTTGTCGCGATATACGCCCGATACGCGACAATTGGTGTCAGAAGTGGGATCAGTAACGCAAAACACGTTACATTGGTGTCAGAAGTGGGATCAGTAACGCAAGAATTGCAATCATTTCCTATACTCTCTGCTTTAGAACTGGTTTTGAATAGTAGAATATGGATTTAAACTTGACCAGCCAGATTTCTTTCTGACATTGTGATTTTTAGTCATTTGTATGTATGAATAATGCATGAGACATTAGCTGCTCTAGTTGTAAGACCTTAATGGTGTTCTAAAGTTTGTTCCTCTGGGTTTTTGGCCATCTGCCTTTTTTAGGCTGTTTCCAGTATAATAAACAGCTGATTTAGTGGAAATCTGGATTCATAGTTGGGAAGGGAGAGGGGCTGAAGATATTGGTTTCTTCTTCCCTGAGAGCTGACTGAAGCTACAGGGTGCCATCAGTTCAGATTTGTTTAATAATGTGGAAGACCGTTGTATGTTAAGAAATAATTTTTTCCAACCTTGTGTTAAAGCTTCCAAAGTGTGGTGTGTTGATACTGCACTGAACATTATCAGTAAGTTGTGCTCTGTGAATGGCATCAGAACTAATGTAATTCCTTCTGGTTGCTGGAAGAAGTTGCTTTAGCTTAACTACTGCTGTGAAGGGAAGTAGTGAGCACTGTCAGGTAGCAGGAGACTGGAGTTTTGAATACAGCTCAAAACTTCAAGAAAAGTTTTGTGTTTTGTTGTACTTGTAGGGAACTAGTGATGTTTATGTATGTATTTCAGTTGACTGAATATGATTTCTGTTATCAGGTTTACACCTGTTGGGATGGGAAAAGGTGGTTTCTTTTTGTTTTCTACAGGCTTTGGACTAGCAAATCTATACATAAAACAGCTCTTGGTCTGCAAAATGGAAGGTGAAATATTGGCACCATATATGGTGGATTGGAGATCTGCAGTGTCATTTTTAATATGCTGTGGAAGTGACGGGTGCCATTTGAAGAGCACTGAGCAAGTAGCCAAGTCCCAGTATCACTTCATCAGTGGTGCTGTGTTTGTTCTATTTCAAGTGTAAGTCTGCATTCTGAAGGCAGTAGAGGACTGGATTGTTAGAAATGTACATATTGAACATTTCTCCTGTAAATTGGTAACGAAAGGCCTGACAGCAAGATTACTCTTGTACAAGAGGTAAATTGAAATGTGTTCTGGGATGTGGCTTTTTGCACAAGTAAGTCCTCGTACCTTTTTTAAATAGAAGTTTCAGAAGTTGTGTTATTGTGATGTGTGAGATTCCTAATCATAATTGCTGATGTTGAGAAGGCAGGGGGGCTCTGAATATTTGAATTTTGAATATTTTCTGTTGCTCAGCCTGTCTTCTAGTTAGGCCACAGGTGGCCACTGTTGAGTGGGTTGCTACTGCATCTGACCTGACTACTCAGTCTGGAGTAAAGCAGCTGGAGAAGAGTAAATACCCCTCTTTGAAAGCTGTTATGTTTTTAATAAATGGCCTTAGTCATGTGTATCGAAAATAATGACTTCTTTATAATCATGATGAGGTCTAGATGTGCTCTGGGAGCCGTAACACTCTGGAATGTATACATTGACATGGCTGGTGCATGAAGTTGACTACTGCCCATAGAATTGGTGTGGTGCTTAAGCAAGCACGAGGAAAACTTTCCTGCATTCTGGAGTCGTAGATGATGGGATCTGCAGATATATAAAATAATCGGTATTGGTACTGCGTTGAATTGACACGGGAACAAGTTTCTTCCAAATCTTAGAAGACTGGAAAATTTTCTGTGAATTGAAGTATGAACCGTGATCTTTTGCTCAAGCATGTTGTGTTTATTGTTCTTCCTCTAGACTGTATGTTATGCATAACATCCACATGCAAGGGAAGACAGCAACACGACATGTGCTACGTGGAAAATGATAACCAATACAATGGGCTTATGCACAGAAAATAAAACGCAAACACCCAGCCCACTACAGTGTAACAAATCCAAAGAGAGTGATAATGAAATTTATTGTTTAGACAAGTGAACAATGGCACTAGTAGAGGTGTAAAAAGAAATTTACAAAATTGTAACAAATTTTAAATTTAAATGTAAATTTGCAGCTTATGGAGTTTTAACTACTGCTAACTGGGTTATTGATTGTAACATCCAATATTTTCAGTCATGAAATATTGCAATTACAGGTGATGTAAGTGAACATACTTTACAGTGGAACAGTTTTCGCATAGCTGAGACACCTGAAAATGGCCGTTTGCATTGTTGACAGAATTGTATTATGTACGAGAGGTATATTAATTGAACAGGATGCTTAAATACAGTGTTTAAGATTGGTAAGTTTGAAGATTCTTGAACAAAAACAGGGTTTTCTCAGGGAATTAGTTTTTAATTTGTAACTTCTAATAAGTCTGTATCTTTAAACATTCTTTGTTTTATGCTGTTTTTGAATGTGCCTTACAAATTATGAAGATGTTTTCCAAAATACGAATTTCAGGGGGTGATGAGGAGGCCAGTTATATATTTTTGGTATTGGTCTCTGATTTTATGTTTCAAATTGTCACAGTAATATCCTCTTGCTGAGTGCAGTTCTCGTTTAATATTTGTGTTTTTGTTGTGCAATACAGTGTACATCCATAAAAAATATGGAAAAGTGCAATGTTGAAATTTAAAATTTTCACTCTTCACCTGTACTGTCTGCATGACATACTAGTGTGTGATAGCGTAGATATATTTCAAGTCAGATCCTGCTTTATAGAAGGGACAGCGCCCTAGTAGTAACTAAACTACTTCAGGTGAATTTAGACCCTCCCCCCATATTCAGTATATTATCATATGTTCCAGGCAAAAAGAAACTGCTTCATGAAGTGGGACTGTTCAGTTTTCCTTGATTTCGCTAAGAATGGGAAGCCAATTTGGTACTTGAGTAGTAATGCACAGTTGCTCATGAAGTTACCCATCCCTTACAATAAAACTTATTTGAGAAAATATGTCTTTTATTATATAAGGATGTAATGGTCCCTCATTCTTGTGGCAGATTGTTCATCACCTGTAGGAAATGTATGATTTTTACTTTATCATAATAAAGTGTGAAGTAACTCTGTATTTGTGAAATTATTTAATCCTCATCCTGTGTATGTGTCATTCATCGCCTGTAGGAAATGTATGATTTTTACTTTATCATAATAAATTTGAAGTCACTGTGTATTTGTGTAATTATTTAATCCTCATCCCGTGCATTGTCAGTTAATCCTAGTAATATTTTATGCATGTGGAAGTGTATTCTCGTTACCTGTCAGTTGTATTTGGTATGATTGTGGAAGAAGTAAAGTCTGGTGTGAAACTATTCAGAATGCGTGGAGCTCCACATCCCATAACCTGTATTGTCCGACGTTCTCCATGCTCAGGTCTACATTTATACCTTGCAAGACTTCTGCATCTGCAGTACTATGGAAGTAGGTTTGCTCAGTGGAAATGTTGGCCGTCCATACATGAAATAACTCTGAAACTCTACAGTTATGCATCGTCTCAGCAAAAATTTGCAGTTGAACTCTTGAGCTCTCTACATGTAGAAGGGTAACTGACCGAAAACATCTTTCCAGTAACATCATGATTGACATGTATGATTTAATCCCTCCTCCTTTGTCATAAGTTTTGGTAATTGTACAGCGTGTAATTGGGTTTGACTTAGGGATGTCTCATTTTCCATGGAGGAAAGAATTTAAATCCTGTCAAAACTATAGGAAAGGCAAGCAATTTTTTGGGGGGTGTTGATTGTAGGAGCCGGTCATGGTAGCGTAAATCTGATAGTTTCAGACATGTATACATAACTCAGGACATGAAAGGAGAGGCCATATAACAAATGAGATCTGACAAAATGATACTGAGACATGTATATGAAAAACCATTAACAGTCAGATTTCCTGATGAATGAATGGGAAGACAGGATTTGGCCTCATAGAAAAGGGAGACTTATCTGCTATCCAGATGGTTCCAAGATAAATAAGGGCACTGGCACTGGTATGTTCTGCTATGGCACAAGGTGGAAACTTATATTCAGCCTTGGGCAGTATATGACACTATTACAAGCAGAAATATGTGCCATTAAGGCATGTGTTATGGAGAATCTAGATGGAAACTACAGGAACACCTACATTTTATCTGACAGCCAAGCTCCACTTAAAGCACTTCACAAACACCAGATCACCTAAAAATTGGTCTGGGATTGCCACCAAACTCTCATTGAACTGGCCAAACATAACAGGGTACAACTGATATGGGTACCAGGGCATGAGAGTATTGCTGGAAACGAAATAGCGGACCAATTCACCAAGATTGGCGCTGAACATCCGTTCATAGGACCTGAACCAGCCTGTGGCATCTCTAAAGGAGTTGCCAGAAATGAAATCAGGGACTGGACAAATATGAATCGCAAGCAATACTGGGGTCCTTCACTGGATTCAGGCAAGCAAAGGGACTCATATGAGGACCCTTTACTAAAAGAACGAAGGAACTGTTGAAGTTAAACAGGAACTACGATGGGTGGTAGGACTA